AACTTCCTTAGATATCTTATCGGAGGGTTCGCGATGAGCGAGTTAATTACGAGTTGATGTAGGTACGATTCGCTTAACGGGGAGCTAGCTAGCTTTGTCCTTCGTTATTCACCAGCTACACACGCCGAGTTTTCCACCGTAAAATTATATAATGTTTTCGTAAAAATACGAATGTCCGATGAGAATCCACTGAAGTTAAATGATTTGTTATGTTCGAACTTTCTAAATGCTCCTGGTTAAATATCTGAAGTTGCCGATTGATAAGCATTATACCAATCACAGTTATAGCTTCCGAAGTTTATAGCACACTGACTATAGCAAACTAATAATAGATACTTCATTTTTGGCGCGTCGCATTGTTGATATTTTTAAGCGTGTGGAGAGTTTCTAGAAAATTCAGATTACGTAACAATACAAAGCTACATTAAGCGTTTATGTACATACATATATTGTCAATTCTTGATAATCTTCTACAACTTTAGAGAATACGCGGGAGTTTCACAATGCATATTTAACTGTATAAGTTATGTACACTTGTAAATATATATTTAATTCAAGCAAACATCGATATTAAAATAAATATACAATAATAAATCTGTCACAATGATTTTATCCAGCATACTACAGGAATTTAAATTATGTCTCCAATATGTGTGGTCAATACCATGTTTTGTTTGGGATTTTGGATGGGGGGTATGGATTTTACTTACTCAAAGCCTGGAAACAAGTATGAATTCAATCATCCTGGTAGGCAATTCATACTCCAAATATTGCAAGGGGCTCAAATCTCTATTCAGAACTAAACAAAAATGAGAGTATCAGAAAGCTTTGTTTGGGAATTAACATGTCTCCCTGACTTGCAGGCTGAGTTTTGATTATTTTGGTTATTTAGAACAAAAAGGAAAATTCAGACAACTTATAGTTTTTGTAATAATCAAAATTCAATAAAGTCTTCTATGAATGGTGAGTTACACTAACTTTTGCTTTAAAATATCCCAAGCCACAAAATGATCTGCACTTATCTTGGCCCCCACATACAGAAAAGTTAATGAGCTGACGCTGACCACTTCCTGCAGATGACTATGTTCACTGCATTAATTTTGAAACATTATCTCTTATCATGGATCAGGAGTTTGTCATATAGCTAAGTCAATGATTGTGAGCGGCTCATGTCAATTAGAGCACTGTTTCTGACAGACCCATTGATGAGTCAAAATGGATGCCACAGTGAAAACAACACATTCCACACACTAAAGATGACGTTTATTGTTTTGCCTTATCTGTTTAAAGATGAAGATAATGTAGTGATCTCAGTAACAGGCTTTGCTGCCGAAGTTTTAACTATAGGTATTCTATGAAAATCTATTATTGTTTAGCCAAACTGAACGTAATGTGGGGGCTATAAGCTTATTTGTATGATTTTTATTAAATTCAAGTTAAGATATAAGTACAGAAAAGTTTAATTACTTGTAGAGTGAAGAAAGAATTAAACTGCTATCACTCCCATCCAGTATAACCTGCTGTTAATTATTGATAATTAATCATGTTCGTCATGATATGTGCTCACTGTAAGCTGGAAGTAAGCACTCTGTCAAGTAACTGAACTGGTAGTATGTACTTTATGAAGTATTGAACTGATTATCATCACATTGACCATCTTAATTTTGTTTTGAAGAACCTCAGTTAGCCTGATGATGGCATCAAGTGAATAGTTGAATGCTTGCCCAATAAATGTACACATGAACACAAACTTTCCTGGTTTTCATTTCAAACCTACTTTATTTATCTGCTGGAATATATTCTCAGGATATTGGATGTAGACTCAAATATCTAATGAAATACCAAAAGGTGGCAGAGCAATGATTTGCTCTCAGAAGGTCCTCTTGAAGTTTTGCGTGATCCAGGTTTCCTTGTGCTCTATGTTCACCCTGGCTGGACGATATCCAGTTTGAACACTTTCATTACTGCTCAATGTTTCATGATCTTTTCCTGTTGATGCCTACTATCTCATCTGCGAAACAATTCTGACTAGCAGACTTTGGCACAAAGTGGCACATCTAGTCCTTTTTGGCTATTCTTGACCAGAGCTTGTGTTGTGTTAC